AGAGTGCTCCTTGGAGGCCAAGGTGGCCAAACTACATTTCTCACACTTCGGACATATTGACAGAAGGGAACAGTCGCTGGAGAAGGAGCTCATGTTTGGTAAGATGGAGGGTCAGAGAAAAAGAGGAAGACCCCTCCAATGAGTTGGATTGGTCAAGTGGCAGCATCGATGGACTCAAGTGTGGCAACAGTAGTAATGTTGGTCCAAGATTAGGCAGTGTGTTTCGTTTTGCTGTGCATAAGGTCGCTATGAGTCGCTACCGACTCGATGGCACCTAACAACAACAACAACATCCACAGCTGAATCATATCCTCCTTTTCTTCCACCTTCTCTTACTCAGACCCAGCAGGGAAGAAATGTTTGGTGGGAGTGGCTAGAAGAGACATTAGATAATTCACTACACCACAGCTGCCATAACTCTCATGGAAGAACAGTATTTCATTTGAATTTTAGTATAGGATTGGGAAAGATAGAAATATAGGAATGGTAATGTGAGGTAAGAGAGGAAAAGGGAATATTATGTTATTTATTGATCATCTTCTGTGTGACGAATACCACAGCATTTTATATGTGCTATTTCATTTAATGCATGGAGCAACCTAATGAGCCTTAATATATGCTGTCTCATTTAATGCATGTAGCAACCTAATGAGCCTTATGTGTGTTGGGGAATTGAGACCAATGGAAATTAAATAACTTTTATGTGTTACATCTTTTCAGCAGCATAGTAACACACAAGCCTCCATTGACAGGTTGTACATGAAGTATACTGACCAGGTATTGATCCTGGATCTCTTGTGTGGAAGCCCACTGTTCTATTACTGAAATACCAATGCCACATCTATGGCAAACTAAGCTGAAAAGCTTAATGATCCACTTCTGAAAATCAGTCCGTGAAAACCTTACTGTTTGCAACAGTCGTATCCACAACCAGTCATGGGCGTGATGTAAGACCGGGCAGAATTTTTTGTGTTGTACATGGAGTTGCCTTGATTCTGGGTCTGTCTGAATATCAGCTAAAACAATGTGGGCTATATAGTTAGTCTTTCTGAATTCATGCTCCTGTTTCTTTCTTGACACACCACAAGACGTGGATAGGGTAGGGAGTTGGGGACAAGGATGAAGTGTACATGGAAGGAATTATGTTTCATAATTTAAAGGTAGGATTGGGCTACCATTTTAATATTTGAGTTCTGTATTCTTTATTTTACTAAAGTAAAATAGGGTAAATTATCATTATTTAAAGTAAAAAATTGTGAAATTAAGTATAAAATCTTGGCATAAAGTTGTACTTTCAACATAAAAAAATACCTTTATTCTTCACATCAAAATAAAAAATAGCATCATAATGGTTTCATAAACAGTGCAACAGAAATGAAAATGAAAAGAAAACACACAATAGCACAGAAAACTGTTGGGAACAAAGCAATCAGCAGCACCACACAAGAAAAAGTACCACAGAATTACAGGACTCAATTCATGCCTATCGATAATTACATTGAATGTAAATGGATTAAATGCACCAGTCGATAGAGCAGAATGGATAAGAAAACAGAATCTTTCAATATGTTGTCTACAAGTCACATCAAAAAGATGGAGACAGCCTATATGCCCATCAACAGAATAATGGCTAAACACACTTTGGTACATATACCCAATGGAATGCTGCGCATCGTTGAAGAAGAATATGAATCTGCAAAACATCTCACAACATGGATGAGTCTAGAGGACATTATGCTGAGTGAAATTAAGTCAATCAAAAAACGTCAAATATTGTTGAGACCAGTGCTGTAAAGTATTATTATTATTTTTTTTAAATAAAAGAAACAATCTATGATGGTTACCAAGGGAAGGGGAGGAAAAATTATTCACAGTCTAGAGGGTAGACACCTGTTAACATGAGTGACAGGTCAGGCAGTATACAATAAGAGGGAGGTTAGCAAAGGAAAGATGAAGGTAGTGGGAGACACAGATGGGGGAGGTGAGAGGGAATAGTTAAAGTAAATAGAGGTAAATACTGTTAGCTGTTGTAACAGTTAACATTGTAATGAAGCAAAGTATGTGATTTGTTGAATATAAAACTGATGAACTGCTCTACACACTTTGAATTCATTTTTCTATACATTTTCAATAATAAAAAATTAAAAAAAAGAAGTCAAACATAGAACTATCTTATGACCCAGCAATTCCAATCCAAGGTATAGACAGACCCAAAAGAATTGAAAGCAGGAATACAAACAGAAACCTGCACACACAATAGTTCCTTGCGGCACTTTTCACAATAGCCAAAAGATGGAAACCGAAATGTTCATCTGCATACTGAATGGATAAACAACTTGTGGTACATAAACACAATGGAGTATTACTTAGCCACAAAGAGAAATGAAATCCTGATACATGCCACAGCATGGATGAACCTTGAAAGCAGTTTACTGAGTGAAATAAGTCAGAAAATGATCTCATTTACATGAAATCGACAAGTAAAAATCAATGCTCTGGTGTGGCTCTGTAGGATAAGCAGTGAGCTGCTAGCCTTAGTGTTTGCAATTCAAAGTCACCAGCCATACCTTGGAAACCTTATACAGGGTTGCTGTGAGTCAGAAGCTTGCTATTCAATGGCACTTAACAACAACAACACTTCTTAGTGTTTACCTAAATTGGGAGGAAGGGGAGCAGAAGGAGTTAATCACATAAGGGCACTGAGTTGCTATTTGTGTTGGTAGAATGATTTGGAGTTATAAGGATAGTTATAATGGTTACACAGCATGAAGAATGTAATCAGTGTTCCTGAAGAATGCCTGTAAAATTGTTGAACAGGCGAAATGTATTTTTACCTAGATTAAAAAAACTACTACACAAAAAGTACTTCCATTTCAAAGCAACAACAAAAATACTTTGTTTTTTTTTTAATGTTTTATTGTGAATTATTGTTTAATTGGGAGAACATTAGTTTTCCATTCATCCTATAGTATATCATTTCATTGCTATGGTTACAATCCTCTCCATGTATCATCAGCCATCCAAAGGGTATACACTACAATCATGGCCCCTGGTCATCAGCACACAGCCCCTCTTCCTCTCTGTGTCTAAAGTCCCCAACAGCTCCCATCTCTCCACGTCATTGTCTCTGCCTCCATCTCAGGCATCACTGCTTCTCTGGGTAGGGTCCAGCTCGCCACTGTTCTCCATTGAATGGTCCCAGGGACCTCCGCTCTTAGGCTGAAAAGTTAATCACTCCCTTCCTTGCTACAAAACGTCTATCTTTACAATTCCAACCCTCACAAGCGGTCCAGATTAACAATTGCATATCATTAAAATAACTTTTAAAGAGATTTGCTCTAGAAATCATTTTTTATAAACAGAAATTGCCACATTAAAGCTATGACCCTCAGTCTGAAGTACTCTAAGAAATGTATTTTGTATCTTGTTTTCACCTATATTGTTGTTGTTGTTGTTATGTGCCGTGGAGTCGCTGCCGACTCATAGTGACCCTGTACAGGGTTTCCAAGGCTATAAATCTTTATAGGAGCCTCATCTTTCTCCCGCGGAACAGCCGGTAGTTTCGAACTGCTGACCTTGCAGTTCGCAGCCCTATTCGTAACCACTACGCTACCAGAGCTCCTTATTATGTAGTTAAAAAAAAAAAACTTTGCAGAATCTAATGTGATGTTGGCAAGAGGTTACACATGGTAAGTTGCTTCATATTACTTTGTCACAATTTAGAAACTACCCATACTTTTTTAAGGATAATTAAAAGAAAATTTATTATGAAAACAATGTGTTCTTGTAATTTTCTTTTTGTATATTCATAAACTAGGCTTGTCTTTTGGAAGATTATGAATTCTATTAAATGACTACATTTTTCATGAGAAAGTGATCAAATTTAGAATATCATTTACTTTAGCATATTCAGGAGCCATGGTGGCTCAGTGCATTAAGCACTGGGCTGCTAACTGAAAGGTTAGGGGCTGAAACCCACTGTGGGAGAAAGATGAGGCATTCTATGCTTTGGTAAAGATTGTGTTGTTGTTAAGTACCTTTGCGTCAGTTCCGACCCATAGCGACCCTGTATA